CATGACCTGAGGGGCTGTGACACTATCATGGTGACCCAACTTGCTGTTTGCCAGAACTTTTTTTTAGAGATTTTATTTCTTTGAGAGAGAGAGAGAGAGAGAAAGCACACATGCGTGAGCCAGGGGGAGGGGGGCAGAGGGAGAGAGAGAAACCCAAGCAGATTCCCCAGTGAGTAGGGAGCCTGACCACTCGAGGCTCAATCCCAGGATCCTGAGATCAAGACCTGAGCCAAAACCAAGGGTCAGACACTTAGACACTTAATCCACCTAGCCACCCAGGGGACGCTCTTTGCCAGAATTCTTTTCATGAGATAGGTCATGCTTCTATTTTAGTCCTAGGGCCCCCATGGTCTAGTAATCACCATCAAAGATCACTGGTGACCAATCCACTCTGATTGTCTCTGATTGCCACTCTACCCTGTAGCTCTACTCCGGGGCATGGTTATCAGTTAACTTGTGTGAGAAACAAACCCCCCAAAACTCAGAGGTTTAAAACAGCGGCCATTTATTGACTCAACAGTTGTTGGCCATTAAAGACAGCTTGGGGTTGGCCATCCTGCTTGTGTCAGCTGGACTCTCACGTGTCTGGGGTCAGCTGCTACAGGTGGCCTGGGTGACAGGACCTCTAGGAGTGGGGTTGGCCATCAGTTGGGGCTACAGGGATGATTGGGGCATAAGTTTCATCTGCTTTGTTCACATGGTGGCAGCGGGTTTCCAAGACAAGCAAAAGTCCAGGCCCCAGAGCATAGGCACCTTCCCCGCTCATGGTTGCACTGTTTTCGCCAATGGCCTGTTAACCAAAGCCAGTCATATGGCAGATTCCAGAAAAAAGCAGCACACCACTTCTTTTTTTTTTTTAAGATTTTATTTATTTATTTGACAGACAGAGATCACAAGCAGGCAGAGAGGCAGGCAGAGAGAGAGAGGAGGAAGCAGGCTCCCTGCTGAGCAGAGAGCCCAATGCGGGGCTCCATCCCAGGACCCTGGGATCATGACCTGAGCTGAAGGCAGAGGCTTAACCCACCGAGCCACCCAGGCGCCCCAGCAGACCACTTCTTGATGACAGGATCTGCAAAGTCCATACAAAATTCGGGATTCAGGAAGGGGAAACATTTGTCGCTATTTTTACTGTCTACCACAGGCACCAATTCCATCTCCATCCCCGCTTCTGGAGCCCTCCCCCTTTCAAGCACATCACCCAATTTCTTTAGAGAAACACTGCCCATTTTCATCCTGGAGATAACTAGCTGGAGGGTGGGGGGCCGTGGTGCAAATGCACTTACTCAACCATTTGTCAAATACGTTTTATTTTTTTTAAGACTTTATTTATTTGAGGGAGAGTGTGCGTGGGAGGGGTGGAGGAGCAGATGGAGGGGGACAAGCCCACTCTGTGCTGAGTGTAGAGCCCATGTGGGGCTCAATCTCACGACCTTGAGATCATGACCTGAGCTGAAACCAAGAGTCCCACGCTTAACTAACTGAGCAGCCTGGGCGCCCCTCAAATAGATTTTAAATAACCAGCCTGGGCGCCCCTCAAATAGATTTTAAATAACCAGCTCCTTTGGTGCCATCTTCCCACTTCCACTCTGCATGCCTGGAGAGCCAGGGTGCTTCCTCCACGAAGCTGGCTTTTGCTCCCTCCCCACCCAGGCTTTGCCTGAGAGTTGCTTGCTCTGACTGATTTTCAGACGGAGCAGAAGACGGTAAATATCTCAAACTCTTGATCCTTTATCCTTACCCCTTCCACTAATTTCTGAATGAATTTACTCTGCACTTCTTTCTAACTGTTCCTGTTTGATTTGGAAAGGCAAACACCTGTGTTTCATTTGGGATCTTTTACTACAAAAGCCTCTGATTACACTTGAATCTATTCTCTCTCTAAACCAATATAGCAGTTTGCAAAATGTATTCCTCCCATATGTATTAAGAGTGCGTGACAGCAGATAGAAGAATTAAGGTATATGCACTCTAGCGTGGGAAAGAAGAGCTGGGAGACTTGTATAATTTCCTAAAGACAATAGTTTTAGCCTATTGCCGCTTATAGTCAGTGTGTGATGTGGGGGGAGGCATTTCCTTTGCTTAATGGGTCACGTCACTGTAGGCTATTTTGTCTACTTTGGTTTCTCCCAAGGCCATGGTTGAGATTTTATCATTTTCAGGCTGCTTGTGCTGTTCTGCCTGCCTCAGGCAAAAATTGTAATGTAAAAATAAAAATAAAGGGGCCAGGACCTGAGCAGGCTGAGGGGCAGGGAGACAGGGGAGGAGAGGGGAAGCCTATCTAACTATTCCCTTCCTCGCTGTCACCACTGCCCCTGGGGGCTCCTGGACCCCTTAGCCTGTGTGTTCATTGGTACAACCTTCTTATTGGTGAATTGGAAATACTGATTAAAATTAAGGTAGCAGGGGTGCCTGGGTAGCTCAGTTGGTCAAGAGCCCCATTCAGCTCAGGTCTTGATCTCAGGGTGAGGAGTTCAAACCCCATGTTGGCTCCACACTGGACATGGAGCTTACTTTTAAAAAAAATTAAGACCGCAAAACTTTGGGACAGTAATTCCTTTCATACAGATGTGCAAAGATATATGCACATATTAAGTCTAACCTTGCTAGTAATCACAATATGCAAATTAAAACAGTGGGGTAGCTTTTCAGCTATCAGAATGTCAGTGATTTGAAAGAAAATCAATGCCCAGGGAGAAGTGAGCTGGGGGAAATCAGAGGGGGAGACAAAGCACGAGAGACTGAGGACTCTGAGAAAGAAGCTGAGGGTTTTGGAGGTGGGGGGGGGGGGGTGGGGTGATCCTGGTGGCACGTATTAAGGAGGGCACGTTTTGCATGGAGCACTGGGTCTGGTGCATAAACAAGGAATTTTGGAACACTGAAATAAAATAAAATAAAATGAAATAAAATATTTTTTTAAAAAAGAAAATCAATGCCATTAGGAAAGTTGAAAGTGTTCATGGATATGGATACATTAGTAGCATCTGTGTGGAAGGCAGTTTTAACATGTATCAAAATCCATAAACAGATGAAATCCTTTTTATTTTAAGATTTTAATTTTAAGTAATGTCTACACCCAAGGTGGGGCTCAGACTCCCAACCCCGAGATCAAGAGTTGCATGGTCTACTGACTGAGTCAGCCAGGCACCCTAGATGAAAACCTTTTGATCCCAGAATTCCACCTGTCAGAATGTACCCCAGGGAAATATCAGAGAAGCCTACAAAGATATGCACACAAAGATATTAATCTCTACATTGTTTATACTCGTGAAAAAATTGAAACCATCCAAATATCCATCCGTTAATTAGTGGCCAATCATAAGGAATAATACACAGCCCATAAGGTAACAACATGAAAAGATATGCAAGATATATACATTTAAAGCAATTGGCTCAGTCCTTAAGCATCTGCCTTTGGTTCAGGTCATGATCCCAGAGTTCTTGGATCGAGTCCCACACAGGGCTCCCTGCTCAGTGGGAAGTCTGCTTCTCCCTCTCCCACTCCCCCTGCTTGTGTTCAGTGTCTCACTGTCTCTCTCTGTCAAATAAATAAAATCTTTAAAAACATTTTAGAAAAGTCGCTCAGCTTCACTGATAATTAAAATGAATGCAAATTAGAGGAATAATGAGTAGTGATTATTGCCTTTCATATTGGTGAAAAAATTCCAAGGTTAACACTCAATGTTTTATACAGCCCTAGTCTCATTGATCAACCATATGTATTAAAAAGCAAAACTTTTTTGACCTCAAACACTAAATATGTTTATATGATTGTTTTTATAAATAAAAACAGGATTATATTCCTCATTCTTTTCTGCCACTTGAAAATTCATGCGTACATTGATGTTCTGTGCAATAGTGTTTGCAATAAGAAAAAGCAGAAACATTCAGAATCTTCATCAGTCGAGGACTGGTTAAATAAATGACTAAATATCAACATACATGTTAGGGGAGTGATCAGCCGTCCCAGAGAGTGAGGTAGTTACATATCATTGACATGGTAAGAGCACTGTATGAACATATCAAGTCTGAAATTATACACAGAAAACGGAATGGTAGTTCGTGGCGGGGGTTGGGGTGAGGAATGTGAAACTAAGCAGGGTATCTGTTTCCCATTGTTCTAATTGTGCTGTTGAAAATGTCTAACAACTGGGACGCCTGGGTGGCTCAGTTGGTTAAGCAGCTGCCTTCAGCTCAGGTCATGATCCCGGCCTCCTGGGATCGAGTCCCACATCGGGCTCCTTGCTCATCAGGGAGCCTGCTTCTCCCTCT